CTGAGCTTCTCTCCTGAAAGAGCCCCATATGTGTCTCACCTTCAAGTAGTAGAAATTCATCTAAATGGGATGCATTGTTTTCCCTGTATGTTAGTTGAGCAAGATGCCAGCATTAATTAATCCAAATTTAATCAACATTTAAATGACCCTATCCAAAATTTCTAAGATCTCATTAAAAAAGATGTTCTCTTGAAACAATTTTATTGCAAGTACAGTCCAACATTATACTAAGAACTCTGGTATGAGTCTGCTTGAGTTCCACTCCCCACTCCAACACTTATTAGCTTCTATCCTTGGGGAAGTTACTTACCCTCTTCAAGTTTCATTCTCATCTGGCAAATAGGGATAATAATAGTTCCTACTTCATGGAGTTGTTGTGAGGATTATGTGAAACGTTTCACATAAAGCAATTAGCACCCACTGCCTGGCACATGGTAAGCAATCTACTTGGCTATTATTAAAGGCAGAAGTAGGAAAATGCCTCCTTAGTGTTTAGCCCTTTTGTGGGAATATATAATACCAGGTGATTCATGATTCAGTGGGAATCTTGCAGCCTTTACTGCATGCATTAATTTGGACTGGCTAAAGATTGGCATGTACTGTTGTGGGTTGAACACTTGAAGAACAGACAAGGTCAGAGTGGACTGTGGTCTGACTCCCACCCAGAAAATCTAGAGGTGAGAGACAGGCTGACAAAGTGTTTTGGCAAAGAACCAGGAAATTTACTTACACATCCCAAAAAGCAAATGATGTGAGTGTTCCCCATAAGCCAGGAGCAAGGAAGAGCTGGATGGGTCATCTTGGGGCCTCTGCAAGGGGGCAAATGGATCTTAGTAGCTATGGTATGTATGTAGACAGCTTCCTAATGGAGCACAGAATGCAATACAAGTTACCCCCTAGAATAGAGACAAATTGGCATGAATCAAGGACTGCAGGTAAGATGTCCCAAGTGATAGGAATCTTCAAATATCCCTTGAAAGTGTCCCTCTCTGAGTGTGTCTGGCCCCAAGAGTGATAAGCCAGAATATGACATTACCAAATCAAGTAAAAGCTTTCTTCTGCTCTTTTGATTTATTTATTTATTTATTTTTATTATATGTACATGTGGGGTACAATGTTGATTTTCAATAATTGCATAGAACGTGTAGTCATTAGATCAGTATAGTTAGCTTATTCATCATTACAACATGAAATCATTCTTTGTGTCCGTTGACCAATTCCTCTTTTTCCTTCTGCGTCCTTTCCATCTAATTCCAGGGGTCAGAGTCAGGGTTAGCAGCTGGGACAGGAAGTGAGAGGTGAGAGTGAAGAAGCCACCACAGCTCCTTCCCTGGAGGAAGGTGATCTTCCTGAAACAGGCCCCAGCCAGGGAAGGAGGGGAAATTTACCTTTAAGTGGAAATTGGAGTTTGTTATTATAGGGGATGGTACCTTCTATTTCAAAATAAGACCGGTTTGGGTAACTTAAGGTAACCATAGAACTATTCCTAAAAGTAAACAGAATGTCACAGGACATGTTAAGTTTTCATACAGTGGCAGTGGGAAAACTTCTCTCATTAAATAAAATTTAAAGGACAGTAGGAGACAAAAAGAAAAGGAAGCAATTTGATGACTCGTCATGGGTAAATCCAATTTAACATATTGCTGACAGTTAAGTGCTCTCTATCAGAAATTTAAATTCCTGGGCCGGCCCGATGGCACACTCAGTTGAGTGCAGCGCTTGGGAGCGTGGCGGTGCTCCTGCCGAGGGTTCGGATCCCATATAGAGACCGGTCCGCTCACTGGCTGAGCGCGGTGTGGGCGCGACACCAAGGGTTGCGATCCCATTACCGGTCACAAAAAAAGACAAAAAGGGGGAAAAAAAAAAAAGAAATTTAAATGCCTTTTTTGATAATACAACCCACAGTGGAACCGACAACCCGGGATCTAACTCATGTTATGCTAGGATTCTACCATCAGGCATTCAAACTCCAAACTAGAAGAAACACATCTGTTATTTTCCAGTCCCTTTGGTCATTTCTGGTTCAGGGTGTATCACATGGCATCACTGAGCCAGCCAAGCAGAGAACAGCATGAACCCTGGGACAGAGATGCACAGAAGGAAATGGCACCAAAGAACAAGACATGAAAATTGCTTTGGGGAAATAGGTTAAAATTAAGGGTTTGGTTGCAGGTAGAGAGCAGAGGCCTGCAATATTTTTGGTACAAACAGAAACAACTATGTTCCCAAAGAATGATTTATTTATATCACAGTTGAATCTCAAACCTAAGACAATTTATAATTTTATCCTCTATTGTTAGCACTTGGGAGGACCATGAAGGCGTGTTTGGCAGTGTGAGGACTACGTAGAAGGCCAGCAGTCATTGTGTTCATTGAGCCAATTGCCCTTCTTTCCTCACAAGCAATACTGGTATTATATGTGTCACATGCGTATTCTACAAGAGACTTTTGTTTTAAACTTCAATGCTATTTTTAATTTCTCTACAAAAGACTTGACTTATTCTTTCAATACCATCCCTCAAAGTTTTACTTTCCTCCCTACACATTCAGCTGATTAACATTTATACCTGAGCTGAAAAACATCTCTGATCTCTCTGATCTCTGTTATTAGGATATTATTCAACAATGCTTTGAGCTTCCTAATTTCTTTTTTTTTTTTTGTCTTTTGTCTTTTTTCTGTGTCCGGCAATGGATCGCAACCCTCAGTGTTGCCCCCGTACCGGACCGGGACCGGCTACGGGATCGCAACCCTCGGTGTTGCTCCCGCACCTCGCTCAGCCAGTGAGCAGGAACCGGTCTGTATGTGGGATCCGAACCCTCGGGCGGGAGCGCCGCCGCGCTTCCCAAGCGGCGCACTATCCAGTGCGCCACCGGGCCGGCCCAGAGCTTCCTAATTTCTAAGTTTCAATTCTTCTGAAGATTTTCAGTCTAAGAGGGTGGACGAGAGACCAGAAAATAAATTTCTCTCTTTCATCCTGGGTTTTGGATGTCCCATCACTACAGCGTACACACTCACAGAGTACTTAATGCTTCCAAGTGTGTTGATAATTACTTCTCTTTCTAGCCATTAGCCAGTTGTATATATATATACAGCAATCACTTGTATATATATTCAGGGGCTATATATATATAGCCAGCAATCACTTGTATATATATTCAGGGGCTCTCCTACATTTCTGTAGAGTCTTAGATCTCTTTGTCTTTGGCATCCCCTCAACTTTCTATTGTTTTATAGACCTTTGACTAAAGCAGGCCCTTGAAGTGCTGATCAAAGGCCACAGAAGGCACATATTGCTGGAATCTGAAAACTGTCCCGGGGACTGTGGACAACAATGTTGTTCTCACTCTTCCATGGATAAGAACAAAAGGGCAATATAGAAATATCCTGTGGGAGACAGCTAAATTTCTTCTTATCACACTGAATCTTAATGCTTCTCACAGTTTAGAAAATTCCCTATTTTTTCTTGTCAAGATAGGTAAAGAGTCTCTTCTCTAAACTGGCCTTCTATGATTGACTAACTTGCCACCCAAAGCTAAAAAGTAGTACTGGCCTGTGTGCTTCTTGATGGCAGAGACTTTATCATCTTTGTATCTTTGTCTCATAGAAGAGTGCCCAGAAATATTAGTTGCTCAATAAAATTTTCGTTATATGACCAAGGACATAAAAGAGACTAAAAGTCAGGCTCCCCTCACCCCCACCTGTATCATTCTAAAAGATGGATTTATGACTAGTTCTAGATTAACATAGGGAAATTAATGAAAACAAGAATTTGCTAGCATTTTGCACCAAATTATTGGTGCAATTGTAATGATTAAAAAGAAAGAATGAAGATCCATTATTTTGACCCCTTATTCTTTGTACACAAACAAAAATGAACCATCTACCTTCTTTGTGTGCCTAATAGAAAAATCAAAAACAAAGCATTTGAATCTGAGATATTTTGCCCAAATCTAGGTGTTACTGTCCACTTTAAAGTTAAGAATTTGATTAAGAGAAAAAAGTTGTTGAAACTGTTTATAAAATTTGCACACATTATTAAGCATAGCAATGCCTTTTGTTCAAGAAACACAATGTTTTGATACTTTCAAAGCTGACTCATTTCCACTAGGTGTATCCTTGCTACTTTTTCCCAGGAGTTTGTCTAAAGAGTCTCATGTGAATGGGAATGTATGAGGAAGTAATGTGGATAGCCAGTCACCAGGGCCCCTGAAAATGCAGAAGAGTAAAAGGAGAGAATACATGAGCATATAATAAAGGATATTGCTGTGGATTAGCCAAGCAGAGCATTTAGCATACACAGAGGAAAGGTGCAGGGACATAAACTCTCAAAGAAATACTAATGTAATGCACATAAAAGGAAGAAAAATGCACATGAAACAAGTGGCCAGAGCGATTCCATCAGAGACCTGGGCAATACACCCCACTCAGGAAATAAAGATCCATGTGATGTTCACCACACAAATAGATTTAGAGAGGAAAAAGGCCAGCCACTCCATCACACCAGTAACGTTAACTGCATCTAAGTAGCTCTTGTTGATTTTTGCTACATTCAGTGGACCAAAATGAGATAACAGATTAAAAGTCACTTGGGAAAAGTAAAAAGCCCAGTAGTTTACGGCCAGTTTTTGGTGTTATCAGTATCTTTTGTTTATTTTGTACCAGGAAAACAGGACTGGAATGCAGGTGGCCTTTGCATGTAGATTTGAATATGTGCAGGGCATGTGGGGGCAGGAATGGTTCCCAGTGATGGCAAGGTCCCTGTGTGGTGGTTATGCCTGAGAAGGATGGCAGCAGCTGGAGCTATGGGTTCAGAGTGGAAGAGCAAGTAGGAGGCCAAGCAAGGGAAGTGGGGTCGAGTGGCAGATCAGAGCTAACGATATGCCAGGCTGAGGCAGCCTGTCCTGGCATTAGGAATAAGCATTTTGGGGGTTGTTTTTTGCAGTGCTTGGTAATGGAAACCAAAATGAATGAAAAATATTAACGTTGTTATTGTTTCTAGGAGAGTGGGCGCTCCCTTTCTCTTCCGGGAAGCTTAGTCGCACCCACCATTTCTACAGCTCCTTGGGTATACCAGCCTGCCTACAGTTACTCTAGCAAACCAACTGATGGGCTGGAGAAAGCAAACAAGAAACCAACTCCTTGGGAAGCAGCAGCAAAGTCTCCTCTTGGTCTAGTGGATGATGCCTTCAGACCCAGAAACATCCAGGAGTCCATTGTGGCAAGTGTGGTCTCAGCAGCTCGGAGGAAGGTGCTTCCGGGGCCCCCAGAGGATTGGAATGAGAGACTATCCTATGTTCCTCCAACCCAGAAGGCCAACATGGGCTCATGTGGAAGACAAGAGTATAATATCACATCACTACCAAATAGTAGTATGCCCCTCAGCTCCCAGTATGGTTCACTGTTGCCATATGAATATTACAGGCAGGTTTCCAGAAATGATTCTGAAATAATGTCCATGGAGTCCAAGTCTGATTACTATCTTCCAGTGGCCGATTGCAACTATAACCCACACCCAAGGGGATGGAGACGCCAAACCTGAAAATTAGAAAAACCGATTGTGTGCCAACTATAATTTTTTTGGTAAATGCTCCTTTGTAGGGTTTTTGACTTTTCTAATAGATTTAGATTCACTTTTGGTCTTGACTTGTTATCAAAGGTCATTTATCCGAGTTTATGTGTGGATGCATGTATATGTGTAGGTGAGTTTGAATCATTTCCTTGTCTGCTGATGCATAGAGGATTTCTTTGAAGAAAAAATTCATTTTCTGCATTAATGTGCTGGCACTTATATGTAATTCATAATCATGATTCCATTTATATAGGGTAGTCTATGCAACTAAATTCTGCTCAATTTAAATGAAACTAAGTATTTTTCTCTATGTGCCTTAGTCCAGGAAGGAATTAATGGAATATGGTGAATACTAATTAATATTCTGTAGTTGCAAGGAATATAACATTGGAGAAATTTTCAATGGAAGCATGCCAGTGAGTAATGATTATGCAAAAAAAGGATTTATTTACTTGGTGTTATTTCAAGTATTTCTCTGAAACATTTTTTAAAAATGTAATAAAATTCAGTTTGTTCAATTGTAAAAATAATTGAAATATAGGAGGTCTCAGAAAGAAGGAACTATATCAGAGTAAGATTACTATACATTTCAGAAAGACTTTCAAAGTAAATAGTGTAATGTGTGGGTAATAGAAAGATTTAGGTACAGAATTTATTTCTAATCTATTTAAAGACAGCAGCCTGAGACAAGAATAGATTTTGGGTTCAAGTGTCTTTATTTGTCAAATGAGAAGATCGGATTATCTAATCTCCTAGATCCTTAACAACTCTGATATTCTGAGATTCTCTCATTAGTAGAATCACCTTTGATGCATTCTTCATTTTTGTTGCTCATCATATAAATATCAGATTAAGTTTAGGAGTGGATTAGGTAATTAATGTCACTACATGTATTAATAAAGGTCCCAAAAGGAATTGTTGGGCGGCAGGTTTTGTGTTATGTGTTACTTGGAATGAGGGTTGATGTGAAAAATAAAACTATTAATGGATTTAAGGAAGTGGTAGATGAATATGTCTGTTATTATGCAACTGTAGGTCATGACCATTTATTTGGTTATTGGTCATATGCCACAGAAGCTCATGCAACAAGTGGTGCTTCTTTAGAAAGTTCGCCATTAGGACGTTCAAAAGAAGTTAAACAGCTGCTTCATCAATCCTAAAACCCATGCCTCGATAGCATGACCACAAATCAATCAAATCAAACACCTGCTCCTTACTGCCATACCCACAAGCAAATCCAAAGTATTTTACATCATAAGCAAGTATTGAGAATATTTTTAAATTAGAAAAATCTTGGGTATTTAAAACTTACTTAGGTTCTGTACACTTGATCTTAGCCAAAAGGCCGAGAAATAATTACTTAGGTTTTTTAATGTATGTTTTGCTTTGTTTTACTTTTTAACTCTTGAACTTATCCTTACAATAGTCTCATCGTTATGATGGGCTCTTCTACAGAATAATACTTTAAGAAAAATGCCAGGGTACAAGTGATCTCTTATCCTGGAAGTGAAAAAATAAAAGAGTTGAAAAAAATCACAGTAAGTTCTATTAGTGATGGAACCAGCCAGATACTAATTTTTACAGTTATGGAGAACAGATGAATACTTTCTGAAGTTATATTAAATTGATATAAGGTTAATTCTCTCAAAGTATAAGATATAATTATTGACTCAAGAGCTTCTATGGAATCTTAAAAAAAAATGTCTGGTATATGAATTAGTCTGTCAGCAAATTCTCAGGAATCCTCCACATGAAATCCTGACTTGGTTCAAATTTTATTATAGTCATTGAACCATTCTAGATTTGAATATTTTAAGATAAGGAAAATTTAGCAGAAAAGACTTTGCTGGGGCCATATTCTATTTTGTTGCTTTCTTTTATAAGTGCTAGGAGTTATTTTTGTCAGTTGATAAGTATTATATTATTCACTAAAACTTTCACTAGATTCAAAATAGAGAGAAGAAGACATTTTAAACTTAAATATTATTATTTAAGTTTAATGCCTGCTTCTTTGCATGTACAAGATGAAATTTATCATCTGTATTAAGCTATATGAATTTATTCTAGACATCAACAAAAAGACAATACATGGCAAAAAGTTGTACATTTTTCACTCACAAGGAAATGATCATCCCATATTTTATTAGAAATCAGTGCTTTGAGAAGTCATTCTTAAAAGTGCTATTGCCAAGTCACCACAATGTGTACTGTGGGTATTTTTCTCTAGTCTACTTGAAAATAGGGCTGGCTGGTTAGCTTGGTGGGTTAGAGCACAGTATTGTAGCACCCAGGTCAAGGGTTTGGATCCCTGTACAGGCCAGCCACTAAAAAACTGAATAAAGTTAGATTGGTCACATTCAAGCTAAGACTTGTGACAGGATACTTGCCATACTGAGATCTGATTCCTGTGAGTAAGGCGATCTAGGTAACTATTGTTCTCACAAAAGTACAATGAGTTGGTTTCATCTTCCAAATAATAGTGTTTGTAGAGAAGAGCTGTTGCTTTGTAAATACATACCACATTTGTTGTAAGGCTTTTTTCAATTAGTAGCAATCACATAGGTAGAAAGAGTTCATGTTTTACTGTGAATTAAAAAGCCTTCTCTAAAAGTACAGTTTGCCAGTTATAGGGACACTAATTTGGCACTTTTACTCCATCTCGAGTTTAAATATCGTATCATTGCATGTGTGTGAAGTGTCTGTTATTAGAATGATTTAAAACTTGTCATGTATTTTGAGTTTTATATAAATGCACAGATTCTAGTCCATTTAGCTCTGAATATGGCTTTTATGTTTTGGCATCATCGCACACATTGCAAAGGGCCACCCTATTAGAGCTTATGCATACATATGTATTAATGACTTGAAATTTAGGATTAAAAATGATATCAGATTGGCTTACTTATTATAATTAGAGAGAAATTGCAGAAATGGTTGCTTTTTAAGAGAAACTAGATTTTCACGTTTGATTTCTATTCAAAGTAGAAGCATCTACACTGTCCACAGTTTTCTATTTAAAAAAGACTATGTTCTCCTGCTAATTAGATTCACATTTTCACCTCTGTTTATCTCAAAAGACTGTATTTGAAAGATGCATACTGAAAATCAAAATTATATTAGTAATAAACATAACTTGAAAATCAAGTTAAGGAGCCTTTTCATTTTTCCTTACAGACGATTACTTTGAATTATTCTTTATCCCAAAGAAGATTTACTCTTATCTACTACATATTTCTAAATTTTATTTTCCCTAATAGCTTTCAGACACATCAAAAGAATTTCATGCTAAATGGCAACATTTTAACTGTAACATTTAAAACCTTTAAAAAAGAAAACTTACCTGAAAACATGATTAATTTCAGGTAAGTTTTTGAAATACGTTAAAAAGTTTAGGATCCAAATATATTTTAATATTATTCTTAACTAATTCTGTCCTTTATAGTATGCTGAAAATCAGTCCTAAGCACAAGCACAGCCAACAATCATATGACTTGAGAGCATGTTGGTTGAATTTCTAAAACTACTCTGGGTACTCACTCTAATCTGCCTTGTTTGTCATTCCGGTGCTTCCAATTATTTGTCCTTTTTAAGCCAGACCAAGACTAACCTCTGCTAAACTGAATCCCTCATTATGATAAGGCATATCTAAGTAAAACTTTAAAAAATTACTTTGGTTCTTTCTATATGATATTAAAGCTATCAGCTCAAATATGAGTTTCCCGGTCAACTGTATCATATAGCACAACTTTTTACTTTTTTGGATAAATTCTAAGTAAAATGGCTGTTTTTGGCATTCTGATAAAAAAAAAAAATGTTTTTAAAGGGCCAGCAATTGAAAACACACTTCAAGAAGAAGAATGTTTTAAAGATTTAAATGACTTAAGAGACAGTAGTACTAGATTGTTTTAAGACACTAACGCTATATTAAAAGCCCCTTTTCTCTGAGGAATTCCTAATGCTAGTAAACCATAAATTTCAAAACGTACTAAAAAGTAGGTAGTGTCATCTCAACAGGGAGCAAACAGGCAGCCTAAGGCCAGGACAGTCCAATTTCCTGGCTCATCTCCCAGGAAGACAGCAACAGAAATGAATGCCTCAAGACCAGCCCGTGTTTCCCTACTTTGCATAATAACAGAAGCATTTAGTACAAAGTGCTCCCTTCTCAGCAATTTTAGAAAGTTGCAAGATCTTTGACTTCTCAAATTTAATAAAGCAGTATTTTTCACAAAGGGGCATTTCATTATGTATAGCTTTATAAAACATGACAGTTTATATTTCTAGAAAGGATCTGGCTATCCCCTCTCCCGTATAAAAATCAAGTAGTTTTATGAAGGGCACTTAAAAAAGAAATGTCTCCGGTGTATCTTGCTCTGATATTTTCTTTGCTCTCTCTAAAAGGGAAGATTTGCTCTATTGTACCTTTCTTCTCCTTGATTTTCCTGTTACTTTCCTTCACAAACTTTCCTTCATGACCACCTACCCTCAAGGGAGAAAGCTTCGCTCACCTCCTCAGCTTTTCAGGATTTATAGTTTTAACCTGAGGGTCTAAAAAGGCAGGATTGCCTCCCGTGATGATTTGATTAAGTGTGAGGTTTGCCATAAATTACTGAATAAATTATAGTAGGTGTTATGTAGGCAAAGGCTCAATCTTACTTAAGCCCAAACTCCCCCCTGAAGAGGCTTGTCTATTTTACTATGAACATACAGAAGTAGAGATAGAATCTCCTAGTTAGGCTTTCTTCAGCATCACCTTTTCTAGAAAAAAATTATTCAGACAGTTGAGCTATAAGTGTATTCTTCAGGGATATTTCTTCAACACAGGTATAGTGCATGTGTTGGAAAGTAAAGTGCCATGCTTTGTACCACCTCTGCTCCACTTGGATGGAGCAACCACTCTTGTAGCAATATAGAAAACCAAGACACAGTAGTCTGAAGAAGCTTTGCAGCACCCAAGGCTTGTCCCTGACCTGTCAGGACTAGCCTCATTTCAAGAGGTTGGCTTGGTAGTTTTTCTTGTTGATCTACATGTCATTCATACCACAGCTTTCTGCCAGACTAGTACATAGGACAGAGAAGGATAACAGTTAAAAAATAAATAATAAAGGGGGGTATGTATTTTCCCATAACTTGTTATTATCTGGTGTTGTCTATTTACACTAACTATGACTATAAATAGTAGTAATACAAAATGCCTATGATTTATTGAAGTTGATACTTAGTAGAGAGCTGAGAAGAGAAAAAAAGAACCCTGATTTTGTGATAAATCAGCCAACATTCAATGCACAGCTAAGCCAAACCTCATGTTCAGCATGAAATTGATAAAGCAAATAACCAAAAAAGGGGGCAGAGGTTTCATGTCCTACAGTGTTTTCTGTTGGTGGTATCTGAAAATCTTGTATTTCTAATAGAGACTCGACTGGTTCTTCCAGAATGTATTTGAATAAGCAATGTATCTGAATGTCTTGTTTTGCATTAAAAAAGAAGACATTGAGAAATAAATAAGAATGAACTGTTCAAGGCCATTAAAATGCTATCATGTAGGGAAAAAATGAGAGGTATGAACAAATTGTATAGGTATTTTTCCTGAGGGAGTTGCAAACAAAGAATATATTTAGCTTTCACTTTTTACAGTAGGAATAAATATTTTTTTCTCAAAAATAAGTCTCATATGAATTTGTAAAATGTTATTTCATCATTACCCTGCTGTAGAATTGTCTTGGTCTCTTCCTGCTGCTAACAAAATTCCAGGGACTGGGTAATTTATAAAGAACAGAAATTTATTTTCTCACAGTTCTGGAACCTGGGAAGTTCAAGGTCAAGGTGCTGGTAGATCTGGTGTCTGGTGAGGGCTACTCCTTCTACTGCTTCTCTTGCTGTGTTCACACATGGCAAAAGGGACAGACGGAAGGGGCAAACTTGCCCCTTCAATCCTTTTTATAAGATGCTAACCACCACATGAACTAATTACCTCCTAAAGGCCTTACCTCTTAAAACTGTTGCATTGGGGATTAAGTTTTAACATGATTTTTGGAGAGAACACAAACATTCAAACCATAGCAAGAATTATTCTTAAAACAAAGCACATTAGCCAAGTTATGAAATCAACCTAGGTGTCATGAATGGATAAAAAAAGAAAAAAGGTAATATATACACACAATGGACTACTACTTAGCTATAAAAAAAGAATGACATTTTGCCATTGCAACAACGTGGATGAGCCTAGAAGACATTATGTTAAATGAAATAAGTCAGACACAGAAAGATAAATACTGCATGTTCTCACTCACATATGGGAGCTAAAAAGAAAAAAAGAAGTTGAACTTTTAGAAGTAGTGCAATTGTGGTTACTAGGAGCTGGGAATGGGAAAGGGTAGCAGGGATAATGAGAGGTTCGTTAATGAACACAAAATTACAGCTAGACAGGAAAAATAAGTTCTAGTAGCACTCGGCATGTATAACTAACAATAGTTTATTGTATGTTCTCAGACGGCTAGAAGAGAGGAGCTCAAATGTTCTCATCACAAAGAAACAATAAATTGTTCCTGATTTGATCATTACCCTCTATATACATGTATTAAAATATAATTGTACCCAGCAAATATGTACAATCAATAATTGTACCCCATAAATGTGTACAATCAATATGTTTCAATTAAAAAATAAATACATTAAATTTTTTTTATAAGGGTCATTCCAACATTCAAAAAAGTATGTCTGGGGGGGGGGGTGCAGGAACAATAAATTGTTCCTGATTTGATCATTACCCTCTATATACATGTATTAAAATATAATTGTACCCAGCAAATATGTACAATCAATAATTGTACCCCATAAATGTGTACAATCAATATGTTTCAATTAAAAAATAAATACATTAAATTTTTTTTATAAGGGTCATTCCAACATTCAAAAAAGTATGTCTGGGGGGGGGGTGCAGGGGAGACTGAGGCTGTTTTACAGCCATAAGTGTAAAACAAATATTTTTACTACCATGAAGACATTGGTATTTATGGAACAAATATTTCCATAAAACATCTGTATTGTATTCACTTGAAGAAATCTCCCTTTGGGCATAAATTACTCAAACTCAGCATTTTCCCCAAGTTGTTATCATTTGAAGTTATCAGTGAGGCGATTTGAGGGCTTTCATGAAGACATCAGAATTAAAGATCAGTAGGTAGTTCTGGTCCTGAATTTTAATATCTCCGACAAAAGGAAAAATACAATTTCATTAGCATGGTATCAGTAGGTCTAATAACACTGAACGGTATTTGTGTTACTGCCCTAGACTTTTTTTCTTGTCACAATGAATATACCAGGGGTTGGATTTAAAGTGACAGCAAATTCAGATCGTCTCCCTGAATGGGAAGCTAATATAAACGGGCTCACCATAGGCTATGGCTACAGACTACGCAAAGTTCAAGAGTAAAGCCCTAGGAGGGAAAATGGAATGTCACAATCCGCGGACACTTAGTAATTCTTCTAGAATCTGCCACTCTGGCAAAGGCACATAAAGCCCTTCAGGTGGCAGCTCCAAGAACTACTGTCAGGGGGAGATGGTTTCATTCATTTTTTCAGTCAGTCAGCAATCCTTCATTATTTACCCACTTGGCGCCATACACGGTGTTTGATGCCAGGAATTTATTAGTGAATAAAATGTGACCTTTGTCCCCAAGGAGCTGACAGTTCTAAGGGAGGGTACAGTGTAAGGAGGCAAGAACAATGACAGGGTTATTCACAAGTGTTATGAAACACAGAAAAAAACAAAACAAAACTTCAGTGTTGGAGGATTGGTGCACGGGGGGGTGGGGGGAGAGTCCTCACAGAAGGCTTCCTGTAACAATTTAGAGGCTGAGTAGGAGTAACTGGTAGAGGTGAATAGAGCACAGAGGAAGGCCATCCAGACAGAGGTACCAGCATGGTGCTGATGAACTCCAGGCAGCTCTGTTATTACTGCATAACAAAGTGGGAATCAGAAAGCAGTGGATTTTATCCTACGGAGCAAGGTAAACTTTTTTGGTAAAGGGCCAGATGGTACATACTTTAGATTTAGGGAACCATTTAATTTCAATTCAACTCTACCTTTGTAGTGCAAAGAAGCCATGGCAAATATGAAAATGAATGAGCGTGGCTCAATAAAACTTTATTTATAGACATTGAAATTAGAATTTCATATTATTTTCACAAGTCATGAAATAGAATTCTTCTGATTTTTTCCAACCACTTAAAATGTAAATACCATTTGTAACTCACCATTCATGCAAAAACAGTGTTTGGCCGAATTTGGCCCATTGGCCATAGTTTGCCTATATCTGCTATACGGCAATCGTGGGGATCTGTTAAAGCATTTTAAACGGAACTGGCATGATCAAGCTGTGTTGTCAGAAGTACATTCTGGCAGCACTGAGAAAAATAGATTTGAAAGGGCAGGGCAAGAGGAAGGGAGGACATGAAGGGCTGTCGAATCTTTCTACATAAAAGGCAGGCACGTTTTGCCTCTAAGAACACTCTGTAATAAATCAGTCAACTCCAGAATGTCCCAAAAGTGCCTCCTGCCTCCCCATCACTGCTCAGCCCTCTCTGCCACTGTGCTTCCTCCTCTCAACTCACCATCGTCCCCATCTCAAACACACACCATTGCTGCCAGCTGCCACCTCTTCAAAACTCTTACAACAGAATACAGAACAGAGAATTGTGCTGAGTGTCCCCCAGTGTCCCACTTCCCCGATTTCTGGAAAGATGGTGATGGCTGAGTGAGCACTAGGATAACCCAACCTTCCTCTAAGCCATCAATACATGTAAGAGATGTGGTTACAGTCTTTGGAACATTTATTTTCCAGTTGATGGGAATAACAGTCTTTTAAAAAAAAATTTGCATTGGGCAGATGAAGTTATTCAGTCTCAGAAGAGTGAAATGACTAGCTTCTTTTCCTGCAGCATAATCTAAGACTTTATCCTTTGCTAAATAATCTTGAATCTTAATTCCAAAACTTTTAAAACTAAATACACCACAAAAGTGCTTTGGTACTTAGAAATATTGTTGGTAGGTTTTCAAAACTCACAGACTATTAAGAATGAGAAAAAACAGAATGAGACCAGGTTCTCTTTCCCTTCCATGCTGAGTTCTTTCTTCGAAGAATTGATTACAGAGCTTTTTTCACCACATGGCTAAGTTTAAGATAGTGATATACATTTGGTACAATGTTGTTTTCAAACATTAATGTTGCTGTACCATAAAATCCATTTTAGTCTTTTAAGGTGCTTGATGTGTACAGACCTGAGCCGATGTTGTTCCAGACATGGTCCGTGTTAACATCGCTCCTCCCTTCCTGTTTTACAGACATAAGTGAGGTCATAGGCAACTGAAGGGATAGTTTTATGTGGCACTGTATCATTATCTCCATTCTGAAATTCTCCCAAAATGGAGAAACGTAAAATGAAGGAGACCATAGTAATGGAAGATGTATAATGTATGCTTTTAAAAGAGTAAAGCAGAAAAAGCCAGAGTTGACTGTAAATAGTAAATTATTTTAACTAAAGCAGCTTTGTAATCTTGATGTTGTCAGTCTATTATACGCACACAAATAGTTCAAGCTTAAGAATAATATGAAAATCTTTAAACAGAATGATATGCAAAAATTTACAACAAAAAAAATTCACAAGAGCTTAATTATTACGGATTTTCAAAAACAAACAGCAATAATTAGGAAACACATCACAAAAACCAGGCAATTCTGCCACATACTCATCTGATCTACTCTAATTTCATCACATATGTCACTCCAGACGAAGCTTCCACAATATGGCAAGGTGAAGATTTGCACCGGAGACTTAGCTGTTGCTTATATATTTTCAAATAATTAATAAAAATCTTATTCAAATAATTAAGGGCAAAACTTAAGTAGAGATTTATTTGGCATGATACACCTGAACTGTTATTCTCTTTTACTGCATTCACTCAGTCACTTGTTAGAATTGTATTAAGTATTTTCCAGGTGTTAAGCACTCTACTAGCTAGAGTGATTGTGATGATGATGATGATAGTGATGATAGCCACTGTGTTAGTCCATTTGTGTTGCTTATAACAAAATACATGGAACTGGGTAATTTATAAGACAATAAAATTTATTTGCTTACAGTTTCTGAGGCTGGGAAATCCAAAGTCCGAGGAACACATCTGGTGGTGGTGACAGTGACCCAGGTGTTTCACATTGCAAGATGGTGGAAGCAGAGAGAGTGACACTGATCTCATTCACTCCTCTTTTTTAAAGCCCTCAGAACCACAACCATGACCACCATTTTTAATCCATTCACTATGGCATGGTCCTACAATTTAATCACCTTTCAATTATCATAATAAGATTTCCACCCTCTACAGCTACAACGGGAATTAAGTTTTGGGGGTACATTCAACACAAGGCAGCCAGTCTTTGTAGACTCTCACAATGTACCAAATGCTATACTAAATAATTCAGCTCTATTGTCTCATTTAATCTCCTTAACTTTTTGAGGTTGCTATTGTTATCCCCATTTTACAACTGAATAAACTAAGACATGGAGTGCATAAATAATTAACAGGGTCATACTACTAGAAAGTGGTAGATCTGGGATTTGAATTTGGGTCTTTCTGTTCCAGTCTATCCTATATACACTTATCT